TTTTTTTTCTTTATTGGAATTAGAATGTTAACGTTTTAACCGGACTACATTATATCATATTTTTATGCTTTGCACCTCTCAGTTATTAAATGGTGAAACAAATCGCAAATGGAGGTTCCGAAGAAATATTTAAAACACTGCTGTGAGTTTTGCGTCTAAACATAAGGGTCAGCCTCCCTCCCCAGCCTAATGCTTTTCATACAGTCCCTTAACTCTCATAGAAAAATAAATATGGCAGGCATTGAGGCTGAAATGACCCATCTAGACCATGACCATATGGGACCCGTCATCGATCAGAGAGAAAGGAGGACAGGTCTGACCTCACCCAGCATTAGCCCTTCAGCCTCGTCAGCCCCAAGGGTCCGACCTGAGTCCAGGTGGGTAGACCACCTACGGGTGACATCTCCAGTGTGTCTGCTGTCGTCTGTGTCTTTAATCAAGTTGAATCTCTTCCAAATTTAAATAACTTGTGAGTTATTATTCAACAGTGGCAGCTCGTGGTTCCTCATAAAGAATTCACAAAGTCGTTCATCAGTCCCGTCTATAAGGTTTCAGCACATCAGTATTTTTATACACATATGGACATTTACATGTTGAATAATGGTGAGGTGAAGTCATTAAAAATTTAGAAAACTTTTAGAAACAAGCCACTTCACCTTCTTGCAGTTGAAAATAACCCTGGAGCCGGCAGTCACTTAGCTTAGCTTAGCACAAAGACTGAAAACAGCTAGCCTTGCTCTGTGAAAAGGTAACAAAATTCCCCTTAGAGCACCTCTGAAACACCAATTAACAAATAATATTTGATATGTTTATTAAAAAGCTTGAAGTTGGTGGGCTGATTTTTAAAAAACTTTTGGACAGAACCAGGCTCAATATTTCTTTATGCTAAGCTATGCTAACTGGCTGCAACTTCATATTTTTGTGTACTACTATGAGTGATATCAATACAAGCAATAAAGCACATTAGCTTATTTCCCAAAATGTCAAACTACAGTTTTTAACCAATGACTTGGTGCTAAATTGTGGATCAAATGTAAAATCCTGTAGCTTTTTATTACTCGCAGCAGTTCATTCCTGGTGGCTTACACTGTCAACTATAATGAAGAGGTCGCCAGAAGCTACATATTTCTAAAATATGGTGCCATTTATCTGCAGTTTTTGTGACAACTTCTCAAAATGAATGATCTTGCGTTAAGCCACTGAGGGCCATGCTGTCTTTCACCTCTCAGCAGATAAATAACCCGCCCGACAGACAGAACTCAGAGGGGCATATGGTCCAAAAGATCATCATGCTGAGAGTCAGCCTCAGAGAAGGACGAGCTGCCATAACAGAGTATATTAACAACACTCATCAAACATTTTATATCTAGGATACAGTATGTCAATTCTTGTCAATCTGTTCCAAAAGACAGAGCATTTAGGGGAATAATTAGGGAGATATTTAAGCGTGCACAGATCAAACACAAAGCAGGACGCTTTCACAAAGTAAAACTGAGGTTGTGTAAAACAATATTGACTAAATTGGGAACTCATCTAAGGCTGAATTCTGACAAAAGTGGATTGCTAAACTGGAAGGCTCGTATTTAGCCAGTGACACAGCACCTGTGGACATTTGGGGCTTGGAAGGGGACAATAGAACTACGGTACCTTCATCCGAGTGTCGGTACTACAAAACTCGCATTCAGAAAAATGAAGAGGGGCGGTGTGTCTTTTGGTTTCATCACTGCCCGTTCTGCAACTACTTGACTTCACTTATTAATTCAGTGAGTGGAGTAATTAATGAGGATATCCAGCTTCCCCTTGAGGAAATTAAGAGAAATATTCAGATTCCTGACGAATAGAGGGAGAAGCATCCAGAATGAATCAACGCCAGAGAATGAGAAACAAGAGGATAACTTAGTCTCCCATTCCCCCCCAAAATGGGAACTTTCTCTTGAATGAATAGATGTTAATTAGTGCGTGTTTGTGTGGGCCGCAATTTGCCTGTTTTTGAGAGGAAATATATCTGTATGCAAGCACCTGCACAAGTGAGGACACACATTTGCATGAACACACACACACACAAGGCAGACACAGCTGGGTACTCAAATCGGGCGATAAAACTTCTTCCAATTACCATCACACTTTGCTAAGTTTATCCTGTGCTCGTCATTAAGGGGGAAAGACTGAAAAAAGACAAGTGTCTGAGAGACTGACGAGTGCCAGAAAACTCGAGACAGCTAGAAAGCTGAGACGTTGAGGCGCTGCACTTTCAGGTGTGACGTGAGGGGATATTTTTTTCCTGAGCAGAGACGAACCACACAGGAACTTACATAACGACTGGCTTTGTCATTGATGGCAAAAAAACAACAAAAAAAACCCTTCTCCTCTCAAATCTCTTCGCTGTTTACGGCAGCACCGAGGAGCTGCTGCAGCCTCAACCAGGACTGTCAACCGCTCTGCAGAGTGACAGCTGGGATACACACACACACACGCAGAAGTCTCCATACGCAAACACTTTAAAATGTAGTCCGGGACAAGCACACAAACAAACTATTTTTTCTTGTGGACAACACAACCACGACACATTCACACCCACCCACCCACCCACCCACCCACCCACACCCACACACACACACACACACACACGAGAAACCAGGATGCTAAAAGCGAGGCCCCCGCTTACTTATTCATGTCTCTGCTGAGGACGGGAAGAATGTCGGTGTCAAAACACTCTCCATGGGCATCTTTTCTTGACAGTAGAGCCACGAGTATGCGCTCATCTATGTTGCATGACAGCAGGGTATTTTTAGAGAGGGGCCAAATTCACCATTGTTTTAAAAATGGACCGATCGGAGGAGAGATCTGAGCCTTTGCTGTTCTGTTTGGCCACTCTGGGGCAGATGGTCAGTTTCAGGACTTTCTACTGGATTCTTAGCATGAAAAACGTCAAAATGCCTAAAGCAACTGTGTCCTTGACACTCTTTGCCACACTAATTAGGGCCTGTATACAGACATTTTTTTAAACAGATATTTTCCTCAACGTTTAAAAAACAAAATTCTGTCTACACCACAAAATATTTGCGTTCACACTAGAACAAGAAAAACATTCCAAACACTTGCTGGGCCTATAGGTGGCAATAAAGGCGATACTTCAAACACCAAAGAAGAAGATTTTGAGCATGCTCATTGAGCTTATTTTCCGAAGAAAAAGCCAATTATTTCTTCATGTATACATACTCGCTATTTGGTGCTATGGAAACTCAATTGGACTCATATGTGGACGGACGACGAGGTGGAGTTGCTGCTTAGCGTCACTTTACTATATCAGCAACATGGACACCCACACAGCTGATCTGATCAAGAAAGAGAGATCAGCAGTATCTAACGCCAGCTACTGTCACATCATGCACAGATTTCAAAGTGCGGCAAAAATAAGCCCATACTGTTCCAGCCCCAGCTGGTCTCTCAGTCCACCTGCAGGCTGTGAGTCTCGGATCTGGTGAGTGGTTTCCATGAATATCCTCCGGGGCTCTGTTGGTTTGGGATGAAGCTGCCATGGGGGTTGTTATGGACGGAGCAAAGCATAACGAGCCTCGTGGGAGATCAGTTTGTGTACACAGACCACAAGTCTCTCTACTCCTGCCAGTGTGCTGGCAGAACTGGGGAGTGTATGCTCCCAATTAATGCTTATTCCAAGAGGTGGAAGAAAAATGCTCTGTAGCTTACTTTACTGATAAAAAACAATCATTTTACAGTTCTGTATAATAAATATAGCAAATACTTTGTCCAAAACTATACTTCATATCCAGCCAACAAGAGCTAAAATCCCCTGCTCTGCTCTAACAACTTCTAACTCGATATACGACTCCTCTGGTTGCAAAAAGAAGTCTGATTGTACAGAAGTCTATAAGAAAATGACTCTACTTCTCTCTTGATTTATTACCTCAGTAAACATTGTAAACATGAGTTTATGGTCTCAATCTCTAGTTTCAAGTCTTCTTCAATACAGCATGATGTTCATTTAGTAAATTATGGTCCATTTAAAGTCAAATAGACCATAAAGCAGGCTATGCTTTAGGGTGGGGCTATCTTGTGATTGACAGGTCGCTGCTGCTACCAGAGTCGTATACAGTGTCTCTACGTCACTCCTCCATCGTCCAAATACTGTCACTTCCATTCACTGGTTGCAAAAATCCAATATGGCGACGGCCAAAACGCAGAACACAAAACGGCAGTCCACCAACCAATGGGTGACGGGCAGAATTACTGAACCCGCAGCATCCCAGCTCCGATTTTATGCTACTGGAAGGTTTTTTGGTATCGTTACTTTCTTCATTGATGTTTTTCAGTGAAATGTCCTTGTAGCTGTTCAATTATCCCAGAGGACAAACACACAGGACAGTAGTGTGTTGTGGTTTGACTCTGAAAAGCTCTTGATAATCCACAACTGACTGTTCATATTCCTTCCCTGGGGATCCATTGGTTAAAGACATTCAAGGAGATTTACATTTAAATGAGCCACTAGATAATGAGTACAACATAAATATTAACTCCAACTTTTATCGGAAAATCACTACTGAATGTCATCAATTGAAGATACACTATAGGTCTTTTTTGCCTACTTACTGCACACTAAAGTGTTCTCTTGGGTAAGGGGGCAAAAAGAAAGCAGCACTGGAGCAGACATACGAGCAGAAAGATGTCTACGATGTTGCCTGCGTTCCGGTTGGATTACAGTGACCATGTAGAAACTACATGTGACAGGGGCAGGAGAAACTACACAATATTAGATTCGACTCACTTACAATCTAAGAATAAATGCTTTGCTGGTATTTGTCGTTCCTGGAACGGCAGCTTGTGCATTTGAGGAGATGAAAAGTTCTTCACAGTCAGCGAACAGATTGTTTGAACTTGGGCCTTATCCGCTACTCATTTCACTTAAAGCCAGGGGGAGGGGGGGGGGTTATGTGGAAAGGAAGACGAATGCTTTGGGATAAAGACGGGAAAGCAGATCCTGTCCTACGGAGGGAGCTAAAGCCGGGCTGAGGTGTGCAATCGCTTCGGAAATGAATTCCCCCCCCCCCAAGCTGTGTCGTGTGTCAGTGGGAAATGACAGTTCAGCTTCTGACAATCACACATGTCAGCGGGGAAGCATTAAAGCCATGTGTGCGTTTTTGTGTTTGTACACTCACATAGTTTTGTCAGGGAAAATGGAGGAACGGAGAATAAAAAAAATAGGGTTTCAGAGTTCAAATTCTGCTCCATTCGGGAGTCTGATGCCTGCAGGCATCTTAAGGGGAAGAAGGCATCAATATTTCCTCATCGCCCCCTGAGGCCCCGAAGCGCTAACACAGACTTTAGCTGTGAAAGCCGCAATTTCTTTCATGTCAAGGCAAGGTGAGGAACACTTTAGGCACAATATCCAAATACAGAGATAAATTGCGAGCGGGGTGAGGCTGTGACTTGGCAAATGGAGGACACAGTTCACGGGGTTCATACTTATTCTAATCCGATCCATCCCCTTTTCCCTCTGAGTGTCAAAGTCTGTCAGGCAGACCAGCGTGAGACTGACAGGCGGGGACGCCCGGTCCGAGCCTCCCGGTCAGGTCTGTTGCGTTGGGACGCTTGGCCGATCACAGATATGGTCGGACCGGCTCGACTGACTGTTTGTGACGGAACGCGCCCTGTGAGAGCGAGCACGTGGACCAGAAACAGAGGGATCGACAGTTGGATTATTTAGACCGGTGGCACAAACTAACTCAGCAGGAACAAAAAATCACGAGCGAGTCTTCAAGTCCTATCTGGTTAGAATTTGCCTTATATAACCGTGCACAATTAGCACATTGGCACCTGGAATGCGATCAATAAAGTGAGAGTCTTTAACAGCCCTTTACTGATTTAAAGCATTACAGCAAACTTGAGAGCTATATCTTTCCAGGCCTCGCACTCCTCTAAACACTGCCACTCATTAAAATCTTGGCAGAAGTTGGGAGTTGCGACGCTGGGAAATGTCAGCGGGTCGGTCGATTCCCAGCAGCCTCTCTGACGGCCTGTCATCACAATCTTGGCTTGACGGCCATAAAAAAAAAAATCGATGGCACGTCTCTCCCTCTCGCCTCACTTAGAATTGGATGTCCCTGCAGTGCCCTCTGAAGGACACAAACTTACCTCCTACTTTTTTAAAATTCTGGCTTTAAGTTTGTTTGTTTTTTCAGTATTTTTACATTTTATCATGTCAGCGCTCTCAAGCTACTTTTAGAGAGAGCAGTGGATCTCCACAGAATCCTCTTTGTAATTGTAGGTTGAAAGGTTTTAGATGGTGGTAAAATCTGTATGATGATTCTTTTTACTACACTACTACCAAACGCACCAGTTTGTTTACATTAGGGCTTCTTCTCCTTGTTAAGTAGCGGTCACAAGGTGAGCACGTTACCTGTCGACATTTGCCCTTGCAAACTTCCACCTGGCTTCGGCTGAAAGTGAACGGCGAGCCTCTGGAACTCAAAGCGTCCAACTCGTCGCAAAGGGATCGGCTCAATGCCAAAATGTAAAATGTGAAATGCAGACACTGTTGGCAAATTTGGGATTTTTAACAATTTGCATTTTGCGTATCCAGCGCGTCCGTGTGTGAATCGCAAGAACCTTGGAAGGTCAATCAAACCTGGGGTGCGGTCCACGGCGATGTCAATACGCACACCAGGTAAAAGCGGGCAGGGTGATTGACGGACTGTATTCTTACCTGTCTATGTCGCCCTGCATCTCTTTGCTTCCTCTCTGGGATGCTTCTCGAGAAGAGGCGTCGGCGTCGGAGGCTCGGCCCGTGTTCCGCGCATACAGATGGAGGCCGCCGTCTGTGAGGTATCTGTGAGAGGGGAGTCAATTAGAGGAAGTAGATGTCGAAGAGGGTGTTGTATGCTGTGCACAGTTGTGAAAGCGTGATATTGGGCTATGTAGATCAAACTGACCCGAATTGACATGTCCGGCCTCAGTTTGGCATAAAAAGTCAGAGTTATTCAGTGTTTCTGTTTTTTTTTAATGAATAAAGAGCAACAGATTAATTAAACTAAACCAGTTGAGGAAATACAGCGACTTGAAGGATACACTGATTAATGAGCACTGTTTAGGTTGTGTGTGCTTTTTTTTGTGAACTCCAAAAAAACCCAGTTTATATGAATACGTGTGTGTGGCAGCGAGTAAATTGTAAGATTTCGAGGCTACTGCCAGAAAGCTATCAGACACGCCTGATAAGACATGGGGATCATTAGTGTTGAGCTAATTAAGCTAATAATTCAGCTAATCACCTTCCCTTCCCGACGTGTTCTTACATTTTCTGTTCAGACACTTCTTGAATCCTGCGGCTGCTTTACTCCATCAGGCCTCGCTTTACTTCCCCCGACAGTTTGCCCTGCGCCCAAAAAAAGCCTATTTTTTCGGGTAATCTGAAAGTGGGAGTGTGTGATCTTGTGCGCTGTGTGTTGAATGTGAATTGCTTGTGTTTTTTTTTTAACAGAACTCCCACTCGCTGAAGGCAGTTATCGCTATTCAGCGATTGATGGTCAGAAGCTCACGCGCTCGTTGTCGTGATGTTTTGTGGAAGACACTGACTCATCTTTTTTCATTCGGGTAATCGTTCAGTGTATAGAGTGCCCTTGAGATTCACGCTCCCCTTTCAATACATGACGAACCTACGATGGCCTCGGTGCATGTCAGCCGGCTATCTGTATTAATGTACACAGAAAGATGGACGAGGCCTTGGGCGACAGTATGAATACACCCCAGCAGGCTCTGAGACATTGAATGGAACTATTCACTTGTATGGATGATCCTTCAAAAAACAAACGGCCTCTAAAGCAGCATTTAAGTTAGCATAAATGATGTGGAGGGTCAACCCATATTCAAGCTTCTGGCAGTGAAGCTTACTCATCTCACGTCACGTTATGAACATGGGGATGTTTTTAACATGCAAGTATGTGCAATGCATTAAAAGGAGGGGAAAAAAACTAGCTAGTTAGCTTGCTGTTGCCGTTTGTGGATTATGAATTTATTGGAATTTCTTTGGGCTGTTTTAACATTGCGATCCCATGATTCAGAGGATTATTGCAGATATCTGTTGTTAACGTATAGCGTTAGCCTTTTGCTTATTATTAAGATATCCGAATCATGCGATAACAATGACGGATCGCAGACTTCGCGAGCTATATAAGTCCCAAACCATTGCAACAATGTGCGTGGCCCGGCTGTGTGCAGCACTTTTTAGTGTCCCCTGGAGACAGTTTTTGTTGTGCTGCGAGCTTCTTGCAGCACGTTGAAATGCTGCGCATGTATCGTCACATGGAGCTGTTCTGTGTGCGTCAAGTTAGTGAAGATGTCGAGCTCTCGGAGCTGTCAAAAAATTTGAATATACACATAAATATTCAGTCACTGATTCAAATATAAAGGCCCCACCACCAAAATTCAACACAAAGGTTTGGTAGCTGTTATTAATTTCAGAGAAGTTTAAATGTAAATCCACTAGCAGCGCTATGGAGTAAGGTTTCTGTTTTGCATAGATGGGATTCACATCCTACAGTCAATTTCATGCTATTCCTTTGGTCAGCAGTTGGTGGTGGTAATGTGCAAAGACACATAGCAATGCGCCAACAAAGAAGAACAGTGCTAGCAAGCAAATACGCTCCTAAACAATGCACATAAAGGAATATGTGAATAAACTTGAAATTCTTATGGTAAAACCATTGATTGGGCCTTTAAAGCAGGAATTTAGAATTAGTCAGTGCATCAGAGGAAGCTAACATGCTTAGCACTAGTCATCCTACCCGCTGGTGATCTCATCCATCCGGCCGTTCCTCCCTAGGATGTCCCCATCACTCACGTACCCTGCCATCTCCATCTGCTTCCCTCCTTCCAGCCCTCCTCCTCCTGCCCTTTCCCCCTGCTCCGCCCCCCTCGCCCCCGCTGCCGCTCGCCTCAGGGGGGCGCTGTACACAAACCTGGAGGGGTCCGAGTGGCCACTGTAGCGCCCGGTGGTGGTGCCGGCACTCGTTGTGCTCGCCCTGGGCGCAGCATAGCTGCTGGGCATTGAGGGGGCATCGCCCGCCTGGAGGCGAGGGGTTTGTGATTGGCCCAGGCGCCAGGCCATGGGGGAGGAGCGTGTGGTGAGGGCTGGTAGGCTCCGCCCATTGACCTCGGTGGTCACCGTGGTGTCGAAGGTCGTTTCCAGTGTACTGTGGAGACAGAGGAAATAAGGGGTTAATTCTGCCGTCTTTGGAAAAGTGCCTTAAATGATCCCAAAAGCCAAGTCATCATATCAAGTGCACTCCTGTGCAAAGGGCAAATCATTCAGGTGAAAAGATCACATCTGAAGCAGAGAGCTGTCTACATCCGTTGAGTGCCACTCCCTTCATGCCCCCGCGCTGTTTCTTGTAACGTTGCCTTATGTATGCGTGTGTATGGCTGTGTGACCTTCCCTAAAGTGCTATTCCTTCCAGTGTGTTAACTTGAAGGGGGGGAGGAGAGGAGCGAGTGAAGGCTCCCATGAGAGCGCACGTCAGACCATCACGGTACATCACATGGAGATGGGGAGAGGGAGACAGCTCTGTTTCCAACTACCACGTATGTTTCATAAACACAAAATATAAATCTGATCGATTTACACCAACTGGGCTGTTAGCAAGTAAATAAACCTCCGACATGAAAGTTGGTAATGGCGAGGCTCTTTAAATGGAAGCTTCACGGGTCTTTACTGATTTGTCTTTTCCAGATTTCTAAATGGTTTTATCACCATCAGCACATGAAATGCATGATGACAATGCATCTAGACTAGAGGAAAGAGAAATCTTGTTTTGGAGAGAGACAAAGGTGTGAGTTTGAGAGTAAGTGAAATGTCAGCAAGTAAAAGCAGCCAAGACAAGGAATAGAACCTGATTGGTGGAGACAAAGAGGGCTGACTCGCTATCTTACCAATCCTCCATTAGCCCTGCAACAGCCACCACATCCTGTTTCTTGTCACTAATAATAATGCTGCGGCGGGATCGGAACAACTACGGAGCAACACGCGACTTCCATCTATCGAAGGATGCCTAAATCCTAACAGATTTTTTTTAAATTTGCAAACAGCAACAGGACTGTGAATACAGAAATAGCACACTCATGGCCACTCACACACCGAGCCCTGCAGCTTGATGTGTACGGACACAGGGAGCCAAGTGTGGCAGCAGTGGCACCTAGCTTGAGCTCTCTCTGCTGGGAAGAAGGGTGCACTACATTCACAGGCTTCATCATATTTGAGTTACCCATTATAAGGATATGTTTGTATATTAATATTATGAAGTAGTATTAAATTGTAGCTTTACCAGCGTATTCCTTTTCATGTAAATACCCGTATTGTGTGCCAGTGCCCACTAATTGATGTAGATGTAGTTTGCTGCACATCTGCTGCAATATTGCCTTTAGAAATAATTATAAGGGCATAAATGTAGATCATGATGCGGTTGCTGGACATGTGGGATGGGACGGCTCTTTGGATGCCCGTCTTTGTATGCCGGCCTTCGTTAGGTGACGCAATGACATCTTAAAGCAGCGTCTCACACATGGCAGTGAGAGAGGTGTGAGAACAGATGTGTGTGTGTGTGATTGGTGAGAAAAAAGGGCGGACCGCTGCAACCCCGCCGCGATGCCAAGTTGCCAACATGACAGGGGCAGCGAGGCCAGCCATATTCGCAACACATCTCCGTCAACACCTCCTGAGATCAACACACACACACAAAACCAGTGACACGCGCAGTGTCATGTCCGACAAGCCAAATTAAACAAACATAACGACAACAGAAAAAAAAAAACAGCTGCATATCTGAAAAGCGATCACAGAAGATTGTGACGATACAGAAATCAATTTGCTGCGGTATAGAAATCAAAATCATTTAACCATTGGTACACAATGTAGCTTGCTAAATCAGCTTATCTTTATCTCCAGGCAGCAGAGAGAGAGAGAGGGAAAAAGAAGAAGAAGAGAGGCAGATACACTGAGGGAGACTGTGTGGGTGTGTATGTGTTGAGATAAATGAGCATGCAAAACGAAGGATATGGCTGAGCAGGAAGTAAAGGCAAAGGTGCCGAGATATTTAAGACCTACCACATATGAACATACTGTACATATGAACATACACGTTCTATTAAAAAACACACAATGTAATACATTCTAAAATGTACGATAATAGACATACATACAATATATTGTTACCTTATTACTAAAGCCTCATTTCCCATAAACCCTGTTGCTTTTTCACTATCTAGTATAAAGCAGAACCAAAAACCAAAATAAATCCTAACAGAGGGAGACTATTTTGTTTAGCCAAGAGCTCAGCAGGAGAAGAATCCATGTTGACAGCAGGGGATTGGTTATTGCTGAGCAATGCTGAATATAAATACACTGGAACTTTTCTCCTGCTAATGAGGTCTGAGAGTTTAACAGTTAAAAATGTATTTCTCCTGGCTCCTTCACCGATCTTGGTAAAAATTCTGCGGAACCACTTCAAAGGCTCTCAAATGTCATGTACAATATCAGCCACGGGATTTTTTCATAGCGGCAGTTCTATTATTTTAGTTGAGTCCAGCACCTCCAGCTCCCCCTCGGATAAACACTGTTAGCTTTGTCAGCACTGTTGCCGTTGTTTGCACTGTTAGCACCATGGACCGCAAGCTGCCGGCTCAGACGTACTCATATTGAGAGCCGTGTGGAGGCAATAGATATGCTCTGAATTTTGCACCTTTAAGAACAGGTGAAAAAAAATTGGTCAGGACCATCCTAAGTTCCTAAAATCCGTTAAAGAAGTGGGAAAAGAGGTTTTGCATGCAAAGATACTTATTCTATTTTTTTTTTTGTTCGTCTGTGAAAACAGGTGAACAAAAAGTACGACATTAGCCCATCTTCTAAATAGGACTAAAAGCATTCACGTTTTCTTCTCGGTGAGAATTTGTCCATGGAATCAAAAAACAAGGTACATGTAGTAAAAGTAAGTATAATAATAAGTATAATAAAAGCAAATCAGTAAAATTGAAGGAAAGGAAGATTATCCTGGCTTTTATTCCACCTGTTCTTAAGAGCAACTCTTTCCCTTATTACTTGCCTCTCAGGGCTTCATGTTCAAATTGGTAGGCTTGCATGAACATTTATGGTGGAGGTTTAATCAGCCCTATGAAGGCAAGAGCTTATGAGAAGATTGTAAACCTCAAGTCTAGTTTATGATCGATACTTATTGAGTAATGGCAGGAGATTTAACTCCGGCAGTCATCTGCAGTCTGTCAAATAACAATCCAATCTAGATCACCTAAAAAGTGAAATAGTATCAGACTCTAGACTCATTGAGATGAATATATTTTAGAAGACTGCCATGAGTTTTGGTTTTACTGTGAAAGGATCCACTGTAAAACACACAGGCTGTGTTTGTCTCTTCAGACAAAACTATTGCAGCTAAACACATCATCGGCCCTCTATGGGAGTCTGGTGTGAACTTGAGTGCAGTCCGCACCATAACTGAGAGTGACATCACAACAAAGACTTTGTACGAGAGGGTGGAGCTGGGGAGGGATTTGCATAGCCCCGCCCTAAATCATACCCTGCTTTATGGTCTATTTGACTCTAACTGGACCATAATTGACTAAATGAACATCATGCTGTATTGAAGAAGACTTGAAACTAGAGATTGAGACCATAAACTCATGTTTACAATGTTTACTGAGATAATAAATCAAGAGAGAAGTAGAGTCATTTTCTCATAGACTTCTATACAATCAGACTTATTTTTGCAGTGGATATCCAATATGCACATTGTAAGTCGGCAACGGATGCTTGCTGAGTTACTGCTCTTCAGCTTTGGCGGGGCAGAATGAAACTGGCATGTGCCGCTGCCTTGTTTTGTGTGTGTGTGTGTTGCAGGGAGGCTGGCAATGCTGCTGGCAGATGTTAAACACTGCTAGTCTGAGAGCGATTCAGAGCGGTAGCTCACCGCCATCACAGACACACATCTTCAGTCTGGATCGCCAACACAACCATTACTCACACACGTGCACACACAAGCCAGTCGCTTTATCATGGACTAAAAAACGTGTGTTACCTTCCTCCAGCTGAATCCCGTCCCTCCTCCACTCAGTCAGACTGCTCTCGCAGGAACATTGTCGGGGATTGAAAAGTGTCTCTGGCTTTGAAACATCATTACTGGTAGGAACTAGTAATTTTGGCAACTTTGGCCTCATTTCTGCGTTACGGTTGCAATCTTTGCAAATCGCTTGGTAATGACGCGTCAGCCAATTGTATATCTACAAAGAAAACCAGCTTTCTCCCCAATTCAAAAGCAATGAATAATTTAGCCTGCCCCGTTTCTCTCCATACTCAAAAAATGTGAAGACAAAATAAACAAACCAGAACGGGTGAGGCTATCATGCTCAGTAAGTCATCTGGTGGGTTGCTGAATCGTCATGGGACCAGACGGGGATCCCCCAGGACCCAGCAGAGAGGGGAGACGGGGGAGATTTGGCTTCTCTGTTTGCTGTGCCAGGTTCGTCCTTGAAGATGACAGCATTTCTTCACACATGCAGATGTCTGTCCCCCCCCCCAGTTTAAATGCCAATCAATAACATTTTTCATTGTCTGGATAGAAAAAAAAACAGTGGAGGATACTCAATGTGTTTTTTCATCAATACAGATCGTCTGTGCGGCCCCAACACATCGGGATCTCTGAGGGAATTTGCGGATGTGAACTGAGCTGCCGTGATGGCTGCAGCATCAAAGCAGCATGGTCAGCTCAAAGAGAAAGGGCCACGCTTTCAGGGCCGCGGAAACTGTAGCTCAACCACATGAAGTTTTTTCAACCGGGTCAGTAATTTCAGGTAACATTAGCTGCCACCAATGCAATTTTTAGTTAGCTTCAATCTAAATGTTTATGATGCATGTGGAACTTCTGGCAGTAAAGTCTTTATGGAGCAGGGGAATGTAACAGAGAGCCCCAAGCATAATGATGCAAAACTAATGTGGGGAAAAAGTCGGTATTAGTGAGCTCCATAACGTCGCAGTGAACCTAGGGACAGGGCTGAAGAATGTAGAGTTGGTGTTTTGGGCTTGTATTTGCATTGAGCTGGCTGCATGAGACCACACGGGGGGGGGGGGCAATACTGTGTTCACACTAAGAGCAACAACACAGCCAGTGTTGCCAGCTACACTTTCAGCGAGTCGGCGTTAAATTGTTGCTCGAGCGCTCGTTGACGTAGTTATGTTTCCTTTTT